GATTTGCTTTCCACGAGTACGTTGCGAGTTTTAATTTAATTACCAGCAGAAACTGTTGATATCTAATTTACTTGGTATTGTATGATTAGTATCATTTAATCCTCTTTACTGGCTTTTATTTAAGGTGAGATGATTCTGAAAGGAATGGAAACGATAATTAGGAAAAGCCCTATGTAATTTTCGTGTATGATAATTCACAATGGGAAAATATTAAGATGAGAGATGTACTTACAAAACAAGAAAAAGCGATTAAACAAAAATTCAGTTTTTTTCTTTTTGTTTTTACTAACTAAATTAAATTGCGTATTGTATGGAATTGTTTGTTTTTTTGTTTTCACTAATCAAGATAAATTGAAAGTTGTACAGAATAGTTTTTTTGTTGATTATTTGTTTTTACAAATTAAAGTAAATTGAGGATTGTACAGAATTGTTTTTGTTGTTGTTTTTTAATAACTAAAGTAAATGCAGGTTTGTACAGAATTGTTTTTGTTGTTGTTGTTTAATAACTAAAGTAAATTGAGGATTGTACAGAATTGTTTTTGTTGTTGTTGTTTACTAACTAAAGTAAATTGAGGATTGTACAGAATTGTTTTTGGTTGTTGTTTACTAACTAAAGTAAATTCAAGTTTGTACAGAATTGTTTTGTTGCTGTTTTTTTACTAACTAAAGTGAGGATTGTAAAGAATTGTTTGTTTTTTGTTTTTACTAATCAAAATAAATTGAAAGTTGTGCAGAATTGTTTTTTTTGTTGATTATTTGTTTTTACAAATTAAAGTAAATTGAGGATTGTACAAAATTGTTTTTGTTGTTGTTTTTTACTAACTAAAGTAAATTCAGGTTTGTACAGAATTGTTTTTGTTGATTATTTGTTTTTACAAATTAAAGAAAATTGAGGATTGTACAGAATTGTTTTTGTTGATTATTTGTTTTTACAAATTAAAGTAAATTGAGGATTGTACAAAATTGTTTTTGTTGTTGTTGTTTATTAACTAAAGTAAATTCAGGTTTGTACAGAATTGTTTTGTTGTTGTTTTTTTACTAACTAAAGTAAATTCAGGTTTGTACAGAATTGTTTTTGTTGTTTTTTTACTAACTAAAGTAAATTCAGGTTTGTACAAAATTGTTTTTGTTGTTATTTACTAACTAAAGTAAATTGAGGATTGTAAAGAATTGTTTTTGTTGTTATTTACTAACTAAAGTAAACTGAGAATTGTACAGAATTGTTTTTGTTGTTGTTGTTTACTAACTAAAGTAAATTGAGGATTGTACATAATTGTTTTTGTTGTTGTTGTTTACTAACTAAAGTAAATTAAGGATTGTACAGAATTGTTTTTGTTGTTGTTTACTAACTAAAGTAAATTCAGGTTTGTACAGAATTGTTTTGTTGCTGTTTTTTTACTAACTAAAGTAAATTGAGGATTGTAAAGAATTGTTTGTTTTTTGTTTTTACTAATCAAAATAAATTGAAAGTTGTGCAGAATTGTTTTTTTTGTTGATTATTTGTTTTTACAAATTAAAGTAAATTGAGGATTGTACAGAATTGTTTTTGTTGATTATTTGTTTTTATTAATCAAAATAAATTGAAAGTTGTGCAGAATTGTTTTTTTTGTTGATTATTTGTTTTTACAAATTAAAGTAAATTGAGGATTGTACAAATTGTTTTTGTTGTTGTTGTTTACTAACTAAAATAAATTAAGGATTGTACAGAATTGTTTTTGTTGTTGTTTACTAACTAAAGTAAATTCAGGTTTGTACAGAATTGTTTTTTGTTGATTATTTGTTTTTACAAATTAAAGTAAATTGAGGATTGTACAGAATTGTTTTTGTTGTTGTTTACTAACTAAAGTAAATTCAGGTTTGTACAGAATTGTTTTTGTTGTTGTTGTTTACTAACTAAAGTAAATTGAGGATTGTACAGAATTGTTTTTGTTGATGTTTACTAACTAAAGTAAATTGAGGATTTACAGAATTGTTTTTGTTGTTGTTGTTTACTAACTAAAGTAAATTTAGGATTTACAGAATTGTTTTTGTTGTTCTTGATGTTTACTAACTAAAGTAAATTGAGGATTTACAGAATTGTTTTTTTTTGTTGTTGTTTACTAACTAAAGTAAACTGAGGATTGTACAGAATTGTTTTTGTTGTTGTTGTTTACTAACTAAAGTAAACTGAGGATTGTACAGAATTCCACACAAAAGTAATTACAAATCAGGAAAGAATTGACGCCACTAAGGTTTCATTTTCATTTTTCCTTAAACACAATCTTTAAGCGATCGTTTTGCCATCTCGAAAATTTGGAAGAGTTTGATTTTTTTATGTTGTTTTCTTTTTGTTTTACTTTGTGAGAGAAACTTTTGCTTACGAAGAAATCTTTTGTTATGGTATATAATACAAAAAAATTGTATTCATTTCTTTAATATAAAACATGTTACTGGCGAATAATAGTGATGACGGGACTTGAAAAAGATAAAGTTCCATAAAGCACTGTGGTAAAATCCTAACGAGAGAGTTAAAATAAGAACCACTGTCCATATTTTGATAAAAACCTGGCATCTTCTCTTTCAACTTTGACAGAAGCTTTTTTTATACAGTATAATGAATTATATCTTGGATTCGGGTTCTTTTGTTAATAACTTTCATACTCTTTCCATCAGTTATTGATTGTTATGGAAACGGATAAACCACGAGAACTTCTCTAGTGTGGCCTTCAGGGTTAATAACTTGACGTACACGAAGATTCATTTGATTTACTACAAGGTCAAAGGAAGATGTAACAGGCAATACTTTGGAAATACTTATAATAGACGAATACCAAAGAAATTTTTTGTGACATAGGCTTAACGTGATTTTCTATATAACACTGCTATTACATCCTATAAAAAAGGATTACTATTTCATCCTGTACCAAAGTCTGGGTACATTCGTTAGGAGAGAAAATCCGTTTTTTTTCATCCACCATGTCAATGTCTCTGGAATAGAATTGGCAAACAAAATAATTCAATAAATCTTTTCTTTATCAAATCAAAGTTATGACTGCGAAAAGAGCATACTTCAGTTTGCTTGTATGTTATCCAAGTGCTGTATTTTTAGAATATAGTCCCTGGCCTTTAACTTATTGTTTTTCATAATTAAATGAAGAGCTTTGAAACAACGTAGCTCTAGTTCTGAAACCAGAATGGGCACATATCAAACTTAATATAAGTAAGCTTTAAAATGATGTAGGCACATATTGCCATATGTTTTAAGAAAATAACAACAGTTTTTCAAGTGCCCCCCCCCCCAGTGGCACAGCGATATGTTTACGGACTTATACTGCTAGAAACTAGGTTTCGATACCCGTGGTAGGCATAGCACAGGTCGCCCTTTATGTAGCTTTGTGCTTAACAATAAACGACAACAACAATTATTTCAACAATTACAAAACAAATCCAGCCATATTTTGACATCGTGTAATACAAGACACTTCTTACTGATTATGTATGAGCCGAGTGTGAATGAGTGGTTAGCGTGCCGGAATGTGGATCTGAAGATCCATGGTTTGCGACTCCGTTGCGGCAAAACAAATCACGCTCCGCACTTTAGGACCACAGATGCGTTGTGAGAGTAATGGTTAAATCCCTCTATTGAATTAAAGTAACCCAAGAGTTGGCGGTAGGTTCTGTTGACTAGCTTCCTTCCCTTTAGTCTACCACTTCTAAATTAGGGACGGTTATCGCAAATACCCCTTTTGTAGTTTTTCGCGAATATCCTAAACAAAACAAACCGGTTATTGTCATCGTCAACCAATAATTTCTAGAAAGTATCATGCAAGTATGAAGTTACACCGAGCAAACTACTGCAAGTATGAAGTTACACCGAGCAAACTACTACAAGTATGAAGTCACACCGAGCAAACTACTGCAAGTATGAAGTCACACCGAGCAAACTACTGCAAGTATGAAGTCACACCGAGCAAACTACTGCAAGTATGAAGTTACACCGAGCAAACTACTGCAAGTATGAAGTTACACCGAGCAAACTACTGCAAGTATGAAGTCACACCGAGCAAACTACTGCAAGTATGAAGTTACACCGAGCAAACTACTGCAAACGTAATGAATAAAACTAGCCCGTTCGTCAACATAAAATGTCAGTCGAATATTAAACCAACATCCATTATAAACACATGTTAGTTCATCATACTCACAAAAATTGAGCATGCTACCACGAGTTAATATTACATCATGAACAACATATGATTGGGTTAGTCTATCGAAAACGTAGGAAATTATTATCATAACCATACTACAATAGTAATGTGCTGAGAATATTCAAGCTGTACATCTTCATTTGTAATGAAAGTCTAACCTGTAAAAGAAGCTAAAAATGTTGCCCAAAATAATAGAACACTATATTTTGTACATTAAAATAGAAGTGATAGCGTAACCATTAAATCAGCATTGAAGATATACTCAGTTTAGGGGAGATAGACTTTCAAAATAGACACACAGTTATAAGAAATTACCAAAACTTAACAGTACGTAAGAAAAAAAAAAGCTGAGAATGCAACATCATTATCGTCTATCATAGAGTAATGTTTAGGAATCATACAAAAGAAAAAATATAGGGTGGTTTTATACCTAATATAAGGTTATTCTAACAACTGCTTTTTATGTCAAAATATTAGGGGTGACTGCCTTCCCACAACAAGCTGCAAACAACGAAAGGCAGTAAGGGTTGAGATGTAGTAGATCAAAGCACTCAACTCCTAACCCTTAATTTGATCTTCCATAATGACTACCTCGCTTGATATTTGCATTTGAATCATCGATGGAATATCCCCAACGTTTTTTAGACAATATTACAATAGTATTTGATGCATGAGTTAATGAATAATGATAAAGGACTGGCAATGGACAAGTTTTTTTGTTTTTTTTTTTAGGTCAGAATCTCATAGTAGACATTTCGGTTTTGGTTTATAAAATACATATATACATAAATATATAACAATAAATTAACCTACCGTGAACATACAGATGAACGAAGCTCGCGTTCCTTTTTGGGTTCGGAGATCTGTCGAAAAAATTGACTACGCATGTGTAGATTCCTTGATCGTGATCCTGTAAGCTGGTTAGATTGAGAGACGCCCGATCCGTGAGAGAGACTCGTCCGTCATAACCTTCACCAATATGAGGGGGATAACCTTCGTACCAAATGAAAATGGGAATTTTGATTCCTTGTTTGTGCCACTGGATGATATATGGAACAGGTCCAGTTTCGGGAAACTCGAAGGAACAAGGTAGAACAACATCTTCTCCAAGAAGGGCAGTCACCTTTTCAATAAAACCCTCCAGACTGTACCCTGTCGAAAAAAAATATCAAAGAGTTATTTCTTACGAAGGTGGATAGGTTAGTCTATAGGCTCATCAAAATATTGAAAATAAGTCAATTTCTTTTAAATTCTTTCAATTGCCTATTCATCTTCATGACATTTAAAAAATATTTTTCTTTGTTAACACAAGTTCCAATGTTTATACAAGTCTGAGTATTCCGAGATTGCTTGATCATTTATACTTCTCATTTGTAAGGTTCTGAAAAAGAATATAGATTGGATACAGGAAGTTAAAAATAACAAAATTAAAGCTTAAAATATTATAGCAGTGGAACATTTGCCCAATAGCTAAAACAACTAATGTCCTATGGTTCGCCGTCATAGCGATAACAAGCTGTAGTGATGCATACATACAACAATATTATAGCAGTGGAACATTTGCACAATAGCTAAAACA